ATCACATCTGATTATTTTACTATATATGACTTTTATTATATAATATTATAATGCACGAATTACTAGCAACTACATATTTATTATTCATTATGAGCTTACATAATAGTAATGTCTTTAATGTCATAAGAAAAAGGTATCAGCCCTGACCGGTTTGGCTCAGTGGATAGAGCGTCGGCCTGCGGGCTCAAGGGTCCCAGGTTCGATTCCGGCCAGGGGCATGTACCTTGGTTGCGGGCACATCCCCAGTAGGGAGTGTGCAGGAGGCAGCTGCTCGATGTTTCTCTCTCATCGATGTTTCTAACTCTCTATCCCTCTCCCTTCCTCTCTGTAAGAAATCAATAAAATATTTTTTAAGAAAAAGAAAAAGGTACGAAATGGCACCTGGGAGAGAGAGAATGTCAGCCACTGGACAGACAGGGCAGGCTTGCCAGGCAGTGTGGGAAGTGACAGGTTTGTGGTTGCCATCAGGGATTTTCCACGAAGCCAGGTCCCCTGGTCACTGACGTTGGACAGGCCGTATGGTTGAGGGACAAGGTGGATGATGAGGTCCAGGTCACCTGCATGAATGCTGAGGTCATCGATAATGATGAGGGAGGTTGCGGGGTGAGGAGAGGAAGATGGGGGCAGCAACTCGGTTTATGTTGGTCACTGGCAGCCGTCTTAAGTTTCTCTGTTGGGATTGCATTTGAATCCCTGGATGGCCCTGCCTAGCACCAGGTCTTGCAGACAAGGGGCAGGAGGAGTGGAGGTGGGAAAGGATGGCCTGCCCAGCTGGTGGCTCATTTGTTGATCATCAACCTATGAACCAGGAGGTCACGGTTCGATTCCCAGTCAGGGCACATGCCCGGGTTGCAGGCTCGCTCCCAGTGGAGGGTGTGCAGGAGGCAGCCGATCAATGATTCTCTCTCCTCATTGATGTTTCTATCTCTCTCCCCCTCTCCCTTCCTCTCTGAAATCAATACCAATATATTTTTTTAAAAAGAAAGGAAATACGGCCCAGTCCTCACCATTTAGGAGTTTGTAACTGTGTCTGAAATGCTGACTTCTCTGGATGCGGCCATCAGAGCCTTTAAGGCAGGGGTCCTCAAACTTTTTAAACAAGGGCCAGTTCACTGTCCCTCAGACCGTTGGAGGGCCGGACTATAGTTTTAAAAAAAACAAAACTATGAACAAATTCCTATGCACACTGCACATATCTTATTTTGAAGTAAAAAAACAAAACGGGAACAAATACAATATTTGTATTTGCATGTGGCCCGCGGGCCGTAGTTTGAGGACCCCTGCTTTAAGGAGACAAATGTGTGGGTTGGTCAGGGCTCTGTCCTGCTGGTAGAGAGAGGACAGGGCGGGCGCTGGGATAAGGTGATAGAGGAAACCTTCACCCAGCCTTCTGATGAACTGGAACAGAAGAGGAGTCTGTTTTGGTTAAAAATAAATAAAGAAAACAAAACCGGTTTGGTTTCTGAGCCAGCTGCCCCTCTGCTGTCCCCAGGATCTCAGAATGATCTGGAAACATGAGGAGCTTGAAAGCACTTTGCACGGTGGCGACATCTGTCCTGAGGTCCCCCACATGTGCCTGGGCTGGGGGTGGGTGTGAGACAAACACGGTCACTAGCTAATGTGCCCCCAGGGAGAACGAAGGGGAATGATCCTTCGGGGATGTCGCCCTTGTGCAGAAATCGCCTGACCCAATTCTTTGCTTGTGTCTTGGTTCCTAAAAATAGAACGTTGGGAAGGCCATCGCCAAAGGCTGCCACTACGTGGTCATCGGCCTGCAGGGCTTCGCCGCCGCCTACTCCGCCCCGTTCGCCGTGTCCACCAGCGTGGCGTCCGTTGTCCGCTAGCGGGAGCCGCAAGGGCCCGGCGCCTGCAGAACCACGGAGGCCTCTGCCCTCGGAGCCCTGCAAACCCGGAGCACAGCGGACTTGAAGCCACACAATACCTGGAAGAAAAACAGTCTTTCCCGTTCGAATCGGATGCGTCCTGTGAATGGATCCTCTCTGCCCGTCTGCTGAACTTTCCCACGCCTCTCTCTCTCTCTTGGACTCGGGTGGCTCCGCTGGACAGTCCCGCGGAGAATTAGGCTGATGTTGGTTGGGGGTCGGAGTTCAGTTTGCTCACCCTGGAGCCCGGCAGGGCTGGCTGGTGTGGAGGCAAAGCCTTACTAGTGGGAGCACCGTGGTGACGATGGGGAGGAGGGCTTGTAGTGAGAGAATTTGCTACATTCTACCCGGGCAGGTCGCAGGCCTCCGGGCGCTCACAGCCCTCGGCAGCCCAGTTTGCTCCTGACGTCAGGCGCCCCCATCTCCTCCTCCGCCCTTTGTCGCCAGGAGTTTAAGTTCGGGCTTGAGAAGAAAGAAGTGACATCTCTTTGAAGGCCATGACACTTTGGAGCTGGGTTGACATGCGTCGTGACTATTTAAAGTAGATCAATGCTTGTCAGTTGTCAGAGTGACATGAAGGTGCAGGGGGGTGAGGGGAGGAGGAAGGGCAAGTTCAGGTGCAGGTGCATGGTGAGGAAGGGTGGCGAGGGAGTGTGCTCCTGGGCACTGGCCGGACTCACCTGCATGCATGTGGCTGGCGATGTCACGGGCCTCCTGACTCGGGCGCCAGCAGCGTCTCTGGGCCAAGCCATCGGAGGGAGCGTTGTCCTGGGAGCAAAGGAGATGCTACATGTGGGAATGAAAGCGTAGGCTTTAGAGAAGGAACCGGTAAGTAGGAGACAGGCGCGGAAAGGAAGTAGAAACAGGACCAGAAGGAGGTTGGAGGAGAGAAGGGGAGAGTCGGGACCCAGATCTGGGTTCTGGGCTTTGGGAAATCTTCGCTGGGCGGGGCCTTTGGCTCCAGGAAGGAGCCCGGGAAGCTTGATGGCTTCTGAGCTCACGTTGTCTGCCTTGGTGGCATCCTTCCCTCTTCCATGCTGCCCACTCTGACCACATCTCACCTGGACTCTAAGGTTAGGGTGAGCGTGGTCCCGACACCCCCCAGCATGACCCAGTGACTGGCTGGACCCCTGGAGAGGGAGGTGGAAGAAAGAGGAGGTCCCTCACCCCATGCCCTCGGCCAGATCCACCATTGGCCACTGTCCTGACTTTGTTTCTGGAATCTCTGAAACTCCAAAGTAGTTATAGCTGTAGGATCAGTGGCAACACCTACCTGTTGCCCCTAGAAGTTTCCAGGCCATGCAAAGGAGACTCACATTTCAAGCCCAACCAGGTAGCACTGTGGAGTGGAGAAGGTGGGAAGACAGACAGATGGACAGAAAAGGAAATGGGTCGGGGAGAAAGTTGTAGCTGGGAAGCTAAGACTTGGAGGCTCATGGTGAGTTGAACTTGGATCCAATTCCAGCATCACTAGTGTCTTCACACATGAAGACATTGCGGCATGCCTGGCCCCACTGGGAGCTGAGGGGTGGTGGGAGGGAGAGGTGGGGAAGGAGGGGATGGACGGACGGATGGACGGATGGATGGACGGATGATGAATGGGAAAGAAAAAGCAGAGCAGTGGTTAGTGGGAGAGTTGAGCCTGGTGATCCCAGGAAGGGAAGGAGGGAGGGAAGGAGGGAGGGAGGGGTGGGTGGGTTGCTGGGAGTGGTCCAGGGATGCTGACACCCACTGGGTCCCTGGGGAAATGGAAACTGAAAGGCGACCCCAGGAAGGACAAGAGCTACGGAGGCCTATGTCAGAAGACCTTCCCCGTCTTGCGCCGCCCCCCTCCTCCCCCTATCACCCCCATTTTAGAGACACCATCAGACCAAGTTCCTTTGGCTCTGAACTTCGGGAAGCCTGGTTAGGAATTAACCCAGGAATTCCAAAAGTCAAAACCTCACAGGGACTGTGCCCGGCGCCAGATTCCTGAGTCAGAAGATGAACTTCAGACTCGCTCAGCCCGAGTTCTCCCGACTCCCCGAGGGGCCACCCAAGCTGCCAGCGACCTTTTTCGCCTTTTCTTTCTCTTCAGTTTCTTTCAAATATCCAGGCCCCACCCTACTGAGTATGGGGTGTTAGCGCTTTTTTCCTGTATGTTTGACTCCAAGGCTGCTTTTGTATCCCGATCTCGCCCGATTATGTAAATAAAAACCCCAGTTGGTTTAATTTTCTGCGCGTGAAGATGTTTTTCCCCCCTCACTTTCTGGCCTTTGCATTAGTGAGATGCCCACAGCGTCCAGCCACGGCTGGCCGAGGACTGCATACAGCAGGCGAGGGCCTGTCAGGGACCAGCCCAGTGCTCTGTGGCCCGCTTAAAGGTGGGGCCATTCTCTAGAATTCTCTAGAAGCCCAGCAGGATGGGTTTCAGGGTGCAGGAGCCTCAGCTCATGGATTTGTTAAAAATGAAAATGTCCTTGCCTGGCCCGTGTGGCTCAGTGGCTGAGCCTTGACCTGTGAACTAGGAGGTCACAGGTCACAGTTCTATCCCAGGTCAAGGGCACAGGCCCAGGCTGTGGGCTCGATCCCCAGTGTGGGGCGTGCAAGAGGCAGCTGATCAATGATTCTCTCTCATCATTGATGTTTCTACCTCTCTCTCTCCTTCTTTCCTCTCTCTGAAATCAACTAAAACATATTTTAAAAAAATATTTTATTTGATTTCAGAGAGGAACAGAGAGAGAGAGAGAGAGAGAGAGAGAGAAACATCAACAGTGTCTATTGTCGAGAGTAGGGGGACTTCTATTTTCTTTCTTTTTTAAAAATACATTTTTATTGATTTGAGGGAGAGAGAAAGGGAGAGGGAGAGAGAAACATGAATGTGAGAGCAGAACATGGATCGACCGCCTTCTGTATGCCCCCTGCCCCACTGGGGATGGAGCCCACAACCTGGGCATGTGTCCTGTCCGGGAATCGAACAGGTGACCTCTTGGTGCATGGGAGGGTGCTCAACCAACTGAGCCACACCAGCCAGGGCAAGGGGGACTTCTAATGGGAAAGTGGGGGCAGGGGGCGATGCATCCCATTCCGAGGTTTGAAAAGATGCCCCGGCTGCAGAGGGGACAGGCTGGGCCTGGACTGGGCATCGCTGCGTGACAGGGAGGCCGGGCGGCTGGCTTGTTCGGGAGGAACGGCCTCTGCCTGGGGTGATGGGAGGGGACGGGTCCCCACAGCCTATGGAGAAAATGGAAGTGACGGGGTTGGCCGAGGTGGGTGCAGGGGTGAGGGAAAACGAGGAATCAGAATTCCCTCCGATTCTGGCCGGAGCAACAGAGAAGGCACCAGCGGGGGGAGGAACGGAAGGAAGAAGGCAGACGTCTTTCCAGCTCAAGGCCAAGGCTGTTGGATTTGTACAATGCCTGTCCGCTGGGCCAGAAATATCATGTGCAAAAGAAATACCAAGACCTGGGCTTGCTGCTGCAGCCACGGGATTTCCTGAGCCATTGTTACCGTTTTTACCTTGGAGGCTGGGCAGTGCCTTGACTGGCCCGGTCCCTGACCTTGACCGCCTGGGGGAGGCTGGGACTTGCCGGACACTCCCCTTGGTCTCTCACCTCAAAAGATGGTCTGAAATTAAACTTTAACTAAAAGCAGTAATGGTGGGCACTTATGTCCTAAGCCAGTATCTTAACTGACAAGGTCAACATTTACCTTAACTGAGCTTATCTGTCTTTTTGCATCTGTGATAACATACCCTTGAAGTGTCTGGGTAACTTGTAACCTCCCTTTTTCTGGACCTGTTTGGGCACAACCAAATGTGCTGGGCACCAGGACAGATACCACAAATTCCTTCATTATCATGTTCATTGATCCTGCACCCACCTAAGTATGTGTCCATCATTTTAGTTTTTATCCAATCCCAGGGGTTTCCTGGCTTTGCTTTATCCCTCCTCCTTCATCTATCACCAATGAATTTCATGTAACCCACCTACGTCCCTCCTTTGATTGCAAATGTATAAATACAAATGGAGCACTATCTCAATTCGTTGAGGTTCTGCTTCTCGGCATATGTTGACAGTTTGGCTCAAACTCACAAAAATTCTTTACAGGTTTCAATGGTTTCTACGTTAACACTTTCTACGTGTGCCTTGATCCTCAGCACAAGCCATTGACACGAGTGTCATGGTCCCCACTGTTGAAACGCGGGGGGGGAGGGGGCGGTGAGGGGGGTCTCTCTCTTGCACCAAGCCTTGCAGGGCACAGCTCAGGCCCTGCAGATTCCAACCCCACCCTCGGTCTTGCTTTTCTTCTCCTCCGCCCCGCTATCTAACCAGGTTGTCTGTGGTTTTGTTTTTTGTTTTAAGATATTTTATTTATTTTTGTTAATCCTCACCCAAGTTTATTTTCCCATTGGTTTTTAGGGGGAGTGGAAGAGAGAGGGAAAGACAGAGACAGAAACATCCATGTGAGAGAAACACATGGACTGGATGCCTCCTGTGGGAGCCCTGACCAGGACCCGGGGCCGGGGAGGAGCCTGCAACCCCAAGGTACGTGCCCTTGACCAGAATGGAACCCGGGGTTAGTCCGGAGGCCGGCGCTCTATCCACTGAGCCACGCCAGCCTGGGCTGTTCAGGTGATCTTTACACTAGACTGTGTGGCTTCTACAACCACAGTTGGCCCAAACTATGGGGAGGACTCCCTGGAATTCCCTCTCCCTGGGCAACGCGGGCAGCTCTCTACCCACATTCAAGACGGTCAAGGCTTGGGCCGGTTAGTAAATCGACAGGATGAAAGGGCGGGGGAAATGGAGGTTATTTTGTGAGGAACGTGGGCGAGGAGACACTCTGTTTGATTCTATTTTCGTGGGGTTGGAGGCCCTCCCAGCAGGCAAGGACATTCTCTCCCTCCCCTGACACCTATCCGGGTCCAGTCCTTCCTCCTCCTCCTCTCTGAGCCCAGGCAGGCGGCGCTGAGATGAAAACCCAAGGAAAACAAGGGCAGAGAAGCAGCCACTGAGCAGGGAGAGGGGAAGCGGGATTCTGCATCCTGGCTGACAACCTCCCCAGAGTCAACGCTGCAAAGACAGGCAGACAGACAGACGCGGTCATCGAAGGAGCTTGGGGGGCCCGTTGGCCAGAGGCGAGAAGGTCCCTGGCCCTCGAGGACATCTGCTTCAGCCCCCACGACATTGCCCTTGATGCCCAAGGGATATGGGTGGCCTTCCCACCCCCCTGACGAATTCCTTGGAGCATCTATCTATTGATCAAGTATCAGCTGAGATGTGACTGTGCCCGACATACACAGGTAGACCCTGAGTCCCAGCTGGTGGAAGGAAGGCCGCCTTACAGGGGGGACGCGTGCTGTGACAGACAGATCTCCGCCTCTTTCTTCTGGCCGGTCCGTTCCTTGCTTCCTGCCTGAAGCCACATATTCCGGCATCTCTCTCCCTCAAGTGTGGGAGGCCGCTATGGTGGGGACCTGCCTCATTCTCTCGGGGTGAGGCCCTCCGGGGAGACAAGGGACTCAGTGTCTCAGCCGATGGGGGCTCGATGTCTCTGCTGGAACAGAAATAGACGCCTCATCCTATTTCAGACTCAGGATGGACTGAGGGCCAACAGCATTCTGCCTCTGAGGCCTGCAGGGACCTCACTGTGATTGTTCCAACGCCAGGGGCCGTGGACAGCGTGGCTTTGCTTCTCCCCAGTCCCTTTCCAAGCTCTGGGCCCCCGGGCGACTCGCAGAACCGACTCTTCACCGAGCTGGGTCAAGGGAAGCTGCGCCGCAGGACTTACTCCCCAGGAAGGAAAGGAGCACTTCCTTTCTGGGCCCCGAAGAACCAACTGCGGGCACGCCCTCCCCGCCCTCCTCGCCCAAACGCTGGTGGCGGCGCCCCCTGGTGGAAATCGGCAGCCACTGCTGGAGACAGCCCCCCACCTGGACCCAAAGGAGAAGGGGCTGGGGTTGGACTCAGGGAGGGCGGGAACTGGGGTGTCCCCTGAGGGGGGGTGGGGATGACGCCGTCAGGTCCCGCTGACTGTTGTCATGAAGAATACAGACCTTGCGGGACCAGAGAGTTTGGTTTTTCAGGACAAGCGAGGAAGTTGCCTATTGAAAAAAAAGAAGCAAAACAAAACCAACGGGACAAGCCAAAGGAAACAGGAGGTGAGCCAGAGCAGAGAGCTGCAAGCGGGGATTGCTGCGGAGAAGATGAAACATTCAGAGTGGTTCACCCCAACCCATAGACGAGGCGCCGCCTTTGGTAACAGAAACGTTTTATAGAAAATATGAAAGTCACAACGAGGAACCTATTCGACAAGGAGAAAAAAGAACATGTGTAGTCAGTCACTTCTGAGTTTTCCCATTTATATTTGCTTGTTATACTTTTTTATTTTTTACTTCTTATATGAACCAGCAGAAAGTAGGAGTTGTTTCAATTAAAATTGATGGGAGGAAAAACTCAAAATAGAAAAATTCTTTTTTAAAAATAGATGTCCAAGGGATATGGGTGGCCTTCCCACCCCCCTGACAAAATCCCCGGAGCATCTATGTATTTTTATTGATTTCAGACAGGAAAGGAGAAGGAGAGATAGAAACATCAATGATGAGAGAGAATCATTGATTGGCTGCCTCCTGCACATCCCTTACTGGGGGATGGGGGGCGATGGAGCCCACAACCCCGGCATGTGCCCTTGGCCGGAATTGAACCTGGGACCCTTTAGTCTGCAGGCTAAGGCTCTATCCACTGAGCCAGACTGGCTAGGACTCTTTTCCATTTTTAAAAACTCCTATTCATGCTTCAAAACCCAGTTCACTTGTTACCTCCTACCAAAACATGGTTGACACAGTACCTCCCCAAGTCTTCAGGCATAGTAACCTACCCACCTCCAACCTGTGCTTTCAAAGTTCTACGCCCATCTCTAGTATAACAACCATTTTGCATAGGTTATAGTTATCTCTTCATGCACCTTTGAAATCTACCCAAAGATATATAAAACTATGAAAATACTTCATAGATTAGAAACTGGTAGCGTAGGTTTGCTGTTTTGCTCACCTAGAGCCTAGTATACCTCCAGACTGATTATAACTAGGATAATTTAAAAATATATTTTAAAATAATGTTGATTTTTTTGGAATAAGTAATAATTTTCATGATTCAAAAATTTAAAAAATGTATAAATCTGTGTAGGACTGAAAAGTTTCTGCCTCTCCCATATTTCCAGCCACCCAGTTTCTCTTCTCATCAGTAAATGATGTTACTCTTTTATTTTTATTTTTTTCATCCTCTGGATGAAGTCCGCATTCCTTTCTACACAGTGTAATTCTGTCTCCCATCTGGTCTTGTTTATCTTCCCAGCCCTCTCCCTGCACTTTGCCCTCTGCTTCTGAGTCTGCACTGAACTTCGCCATGTTCTCTGCCACCCTCTCCCCCGACTCTCTTCACTTAGCAAAATGTCCCTCATCGGTCTGGCCTCAGCGCCTGTCCGCAGCGGGTGTCCAGTGTCCCTGGGTCCTAGGAGCCCCTGTCCCTCCCACCTCCACCTCCCACCTCCACCTCCCACCTCCAGATGTTTTCTCCTTGTCACCTGATGGGATTCTCCCAGGCTCCTTGCCATCAGATATTCTTCCTCAATTTTTTAAAATTTTTATATATATTTTTATTGATTTCAGAGAGGAAGAGGGGGAGAGAGAGAGAGAGATCAATGATGAGAGAGAATCATTGATCGGCTGCCTCTTCAACCCCAGCATGTACCCTTGACTGGAATCGCACCCCGTACCCTTCAGTCCGCAGGCCGGCGCTCTATCCACTGAGCCAAACCGGCCAGGGCGCAAGGTGACTTTATTTACCTGCAGCAAATAAAAGAACCGGGTTTGGTCCAATGCCATATGGATTCTTTTGCAGTTCGCCGCATCTGCAGAGTCCTGAGCGACAGTTTAACATTCAGTAAGAAACCACATGAGAACCGCCGGGCCCAGCCGGCTGGTCCTCGGGGCTCGGCCTCAGGCTGCAGGAAACGAGGCCAGACTGGGGCGCAGAGCAGAAGTGTCCACCGAATGGGTTGGGGGGAGAAGGTTCTGCCTTTCTCAGAGCATCTGCCAGCAAAAGTAGATCCTACTCGTTCCTAGTCTCCCATTCTCAAACCCGCAACCGCTTCCGATGCGCCTCCGCCAAGCACCAAGTGGACGGGGTGAGGGGGTACGACGGGGCGGAGAGGGGTTGGCCGGCGGGCGACGGTCCCGCCACAGGGGACAGGGAAGAGGGAGAGAGTGACCAGCGCAGATGACGCGGGGGGTTAGCCCACTTGCTTGGAGCATCACAACGGCCTCCCAGGGACGCACGCTGCCTCGATTTCCCCGGGGCTGCCTGCTCCGGCCC